CTAGTCACTGCAGTAGGTAGTTTATTTGTAGGGTAAAATTGAACCTATATTTATTATGTCAGACAGTAATTTAAAACCCTGTAAGATTTTAATAAATCAAGGTCATAGTATTTATTTCCAGTTACCTCATTTCATATTCATTAGGAATTGGATACTGAGCCAGCTGCTTGAAGTCTTAGCATCCCTTGCAATTATGAGGTAAAAAAGAGACAGTAGAAAATAAATTGGGATTGAAAACTGATCTACATCTGTAAGATTACAAACTGGGAGTTTATTGAAATTGAATGGGGGCTGGAGAGATGGCTCAGTGGTCTAAGGCACCTACTTAGAACAAGCTTGGCAAAGCATCAGGGACCACGGATCAATCCCCCAGCACCACATGCCAGCCAGCCCCGCCCCCTGGTGGGCTGAGCTGGCCACACACACACACCTCTCTCTCTCTCTCTCTCTCTCTCTCTCTCTCTCTCAAATAAATAAAAATAAAAAAAAGAAATTGAATGGTAAGTTCCACAGAGCTGTACTGAGTGCTTTATATAATCACATATAAAACTTCATAAATTTTGAGAACTAGTTTGGCCAACACTATTTACATATGAAAAACTAAAAATTAAAAACTTTTAATGGCCCAAACTACATAAATAAGCAACAGAATGGGGACCCATATACACAACTACATGATGTTACTTTTCTACTAAGCAAAATGAGAATGTACACTATTTATTACAAACGTTTTTCCTAAAAATTTCCTAGTAAGGTTTCAGATTTCTCATTTCACTTCAGCATTTTTGGAAGTATAATAGCTGGATACATTCAATGGAATTATCATTGCTCTACAGTTCTTCTAGAGCTATTTTAACTTGATAACCACATCCAATAGTGCTTAAAACTACTTAGAATCTTTTTAATATCATTCTTAGATAATACTACCCTGTAAGAAAATTAACTTCAGAATCAAGTTTCAGTTAGTCCTTAAATATGCCTCAAAGAGAAAAAACATTTGTGGTAATATAGCAATTCCCCCCCATCCAACCAACACTGTTAAGGAAAATCACTGTTTAAGTCTAGGCTAAAAGGGAGATTATTATAGAAAGCATGTAACCTGAAAGTTGACAAATGTGTAAAAGCCCCAAGTTAGGAGTAATAGAAGCAGGAGTTTTTACCCTCTTACCTATCCTGAGGCAAGGGAAAAGAGCCCTTTCCTTTTGGAAAAAGGAATTCTTAGCCTAGGTTGCTTTAGATAGCCTAAGGAGCCACAGCAGGTTTCCACTTGTCCTTAGAATTTTATTAAAATGCTTAGCTCTCACCTGGTGAGGAAATATTCAGTAATATTGTTAGCTGTCTCATAGGTAGTTTGGATGCTCCAGGAACCATTTTGGACAGAAGAAATGTGGAAGACATATGGTAAGCTGAGAAAAGCTCAATGCTGAAAAGGATTTTAGTTGATACAGATTGCTTAAAATTTATTCAGTGTTTGAGTCCTGGGAAACATCTAATACAGTCACCCTCTCATTTAAAAAAACTTTATGTTCTCAATTGAATAGCTCCCTTTCTCATTTTCTTTCCTTCACAGATTAATACATCATTTCAATAAACCTAGGATACATATGGCAGGAGGGATTTAGAGGCTTGGTATGCTATAACCTCTTGAACTCATCTAAGCACTAATGTCTTTTATTTCCAAATGTCTATAACCTCATTTGTTTGCTTAAAACTTATTAATCATTTCAAAAATGAGATGCTTACCAGTCGAAAGCCTTTTACACTAACTGGGGAGTTTTTCATTATTCTTATGCTTCAAAATAAGCAAAACAGGGAGAAACTACAACTTTAAAATTTGGCTCTTAGATACCTAATTTCTACTGTTGAGGTTACAACTGGCTGGCAATAAGCAAAGCCTAGGGTTGAAAGGGTCTAGAAACAAATAGAAGAAATGATTAAAGAATAAAGAGGGGCTGGTGAGATGGCTCAGTGGTCTAAAGCACCTACTTAGAACAAGCTTAGCAAAAAGCACAGGGACCGCAGTTCAATCCCCCAGCACCACATGCCAGCCAGCCCCGCCCCCTGGTGGGCTGAGCTGGCCACACACACACACACACATAAATAAATAAAATTAAAAAAAAAGAATAAAGATGGAGAATTACTCTGGAAATATACTACGTCTGAAAGTTTCAGAGTAATTTTTTTTGTATATAGTTACTTAATTCTGGGTGCTTGTACTAAGTTATGGCTTTTGTACTAAAATTTCTATAAAACATTTTCATAGAATAAGAGATGCCAATGTACAGACCACAGTAATGTATTAACCATTTTTGCTGAAAATTTATTTTTAACCATGAGATTCAGCTAAAACTCTTTCATCCTATCTCCTTTCCTCACACTTTTTGTGAATCACTCCATATTTTTACTATTTATGCAATTTTTCACTTTTATCAAACAAGTATTTTAATACTTACCCACATTGATACGTAAGGATCTGAATGATTCACATCAGCCTCTTATTGAAGTCCAGTATAAAAATATATCTATGGTGTACTCCAGGTGGGCTGTTTATATTTTAACATTCAAAGAATATTGTACAGATCAGTTTTGTGCATCTCTCTGTGTGTGCATGTGCAAAGGTTCTCTGGGTTCTAATTTCTGGGTCATAAAGTATGAACACTCCAAATTTTACTAGGCACTGGCAAATTGCTTTCAAAATCATTTTATCAACTTACATACCTACCAGAGGGCATCAGTTCCTTTGCCAATTTAAAAAATCTTTTTCTGTAATGATCTTTAAGCACTATTTCAATGCATTCTTCCAATTTAACATTTCATTTTGTTAATACTACCTTTCAACGTATCTGAGTAGTATGAAAATTTTAATCAATGTTTTTTTCCAAAATTTTTACTTTTTAATGTCTTAAAAACAGGAACTCTGTATGTCAGGGTAGTAAATGCATTTCTTCTTTATTTTCTTCTAAGTGTTTAAAAAATTTCCTCTTCACATTGTTTTCAAATCATCTAGGTTGTATTTCTGTGTGTTGTGAATCTCATTCCATCTTTTTTTGTGAAGATACTCATTTTTAAAAGTCCATTTTTTCACCATTATTTAAAAAACTACCTGTCACATACCATGTTTTCATCTATAAGTCTGTTTGTAGGCTCACAATGTTGGTTTACTAGTTTATCTGTCCTTATCTGATGAAATTGTAAGGTTTAAATTACCAGAGGTTTGCAGTAATTCTTGATACCTGATGGGGAAGGCCTGTTTCTCAAAATGGCATTGGCTCTTGTTTATTCCACCATGTATATTTTAGGATTAGCTATGTCTCCCATTAGTGTCTCTTTTCAGTGTCTTTTCTTTACATACCATGTTTCTTAGTAATCTGTGGTGAAATGAAGCTTTTTTTTTTTAATCTTTTGTGGTTGGTTTTACCAAATCTTTCACTTACTATTCCATCATTGATCAACAATAAGCGGTCTGAGGGCAGGGAACTGTGTGTGGGGAAAACATATGTTGTAACTTCATCTGAAGTTGTATTGCTTTTTCAAATTAATTTGGTCAGGTTGAGAATAGTAATGATAAAACCGTCCTAACCATCGAAGAAACATGAATCTCCATTTTTTTTTTTTTTGTCCTTTAGTAAAGATTAACACCTTTTCCATAAAGGCCTTAAGTATTTTTTGCTATATTCCTGGATTTTTAAAAACTGTCTGATGCATTTCATCTTCTGGGCCACTATTTTGTCAAAAAAAAAAAAGTTTTAGAAATGTGTGTTGCGCTCAGAACTCTTTGTGTATTTTTATTCAGGCATTTGTTTCCTCCAACAATTATGCTAAACACCAATTACCTTTCTCTTAATTAGGGGTACTCCATGGGTGCCAAATAAAAAGATGTTTCTTTCCTTAAGCTTGGGGTAAAAAGAAACTTTTACACTCCCCTTGAAGCATCTAGGAAAAAGTATTACTGATCTTTCTTTGTTTACTCCCTTCTCACTGTAAGAGTAAGGAAAATGGGAACTTCAGCTCATGTCTATGTGTGGACAGGAAGACACTACCCCTTCATACCAGTTTGAGATCCTAGTGTGGCTGAAATGCCAATCCCTTGGAGGTATTCTCTACAACCTTTGCTTTTGAGAAGCAGGTCACATTTGATCCCTGCACACCTTGGGGAAGAAGAACAATCTCCACAGGGACCAGGAGCTTGGAGTCAGAAAGTCATCATCATTCTAAATCCACCACAGGCACATTTTTTTTGTTTTAATAATCTTTAAAACTTTGTTAGTGGTATGGAAGAAAATTCTATCAGTTGATTTTTTTTTTTTTATGCTTAGTTTCCAGCTTTATGGTAGGTTAGCCAATTTTTAAGCTTAGTATTCCATTGTTGTTTAAAATAGATGAGTATTTTTTAGGGGCTAAACTCTGCTGATTCCCCCCAAAAAAGGCAAAAAAGCAAATTATAGCCAGCACTATCCATCCACTTTTTTAAGACTTACTGAGTGCATAAAACTTTGTTTTTTCAAATCTAAGTGACTTTTGGTGGTGGTGGTTTTTAATGCTCCAAACACTGAGAATCCTCTAAAAACCTAAAATTGCATAACATATACCAATCCCTCCCACTCGTATCCTAAAAACATAGTTGTTTTAAATAGGTAAAATGATCCATTTTCCATTCTGGATAGGCAGACGATTGTTTGTTTTTTAAATCTCAAATTGCTTGCCTCATTTATCAGAAAAAGTTTAAAGACACTTTTAGGAGAATTTCTATTTCAAAATAGAAGACAGCACGCAGGTTCAAATCATACTTTTAACATGAGCTTGTTGAAAGAAACTTTTAACAATTCCAAAAAGAATTAAACGAGTTTTAACTATGTTCCTCTCGAAAGATAAAAAAGGAGAGGAAGTTTAACAGGAATTTCGTAAACGGTAAAACAACTCTTCTTTTGTACTACTACTTCGCAGCCACCACAGAACAGGTTCTTGTCTAGAAAAGACTCTGGTCCCAAATCTGTTCTTGCTCAGTACCTGCTCCGGACGCCGCCTCTCTCGGCACGGCTCCCCAGGCGACCTCCTCTGGGGGGCGCCCTGCGGCCCGACCGGCTATAGGACTCCCGCTCGGGCGGGTAGCCCCTTTCCATGGGCGGGGGGAGCCCGCGGTCGCGGCCCCCCGAGTAGCGCTCGCCGCGACCGCCACCGCTGCCGCCGCTGTAGCCATCGCGGTAGTTGTCGGGAGACCAGCCGCGGTACTCGTCGTAGCGGCCTCCGCCGTAGGATGGCTGCGGGCCACGCGTGGGGGCGGCGCCGCGCGGGTCACCGTAGCTCTCAAAGTTGTCTCGGTAGGAGCCTCCACTCAGGTGCTCGCCGTAGTCGCGGTCGCGTCCCCCGTAGCCATCCCGGTCGCAGTAGCCTCTCGACGGGCAGTCGTCGCGGGCGCTGGCGTGACCGTAGTCGCGGTAGCTGTAGTCCCGCGGCGAGGCAGCGAAGTCGCGGGGCTCGCGGGCGGCCCCGTAGTCTCGGCCCGAGTAGCTGTCCCGGGGCGAGTAGCCGCCCTCCCGCGGGCCCAGGTAGGGGTCGCGGCGCGGAGGCGGCTCCCGGCGCGCCGGGCCCGCGTAGCCGTCCCTC